TCCTGTCGAACCCCAAATTCTTTATCTTGGAAAACACATGACTCTACTTTACAACAACTGTCTTTCGGAAGATGAGAAAAGCAGGAAGCACTGCTGAACGTTATCTATAATTACGTCGCGAACAATGTATGTGTAAAACCGTCACGTGCAAACTTTTCATGTCGCTATCAGCAAAGCTACACAACGCACTCACGTTAATAGGAAAAAAAAACCAAGTTTGCTGAGTTACATGTCTAACAACTGAAGAACTCCACATAACAGTATTCCCTCGTTATATTGAGCTTTATGGGAAGTGGGATGGAGGGGAGGGGGAGACAGTGGATAAAGATGATGTAATGTCAGATAATCGCCGATCCCACATGTGGTGCTCCGCTCATTATGATGAAGGGATGATATTTCTTAGGAAAGTTCATTTTAGAAAAATGGTATTGGAACATATAGCGAATCAGTTACCACGATTCCCCATAGTTCAAACAATCAGCGGGTTATGCTTGGGAAGAGAAATTTGAGTGCCGTATGTTAACATGCTTTTGTCACGGAAATCGATAATAGCAGATGAACATCGAATTAAAGTTGAAACACAAGCCGAACTTTTCCGGCATCTCATAATGTTGTTTGAGATCGTGTCAATACTCTAAGAAAGATGGAAAGGAAGTACAGAACATTTCTTGAATAATGCTCACCATCAAGAATCATTTTATTCCCGCCGCGTCGCACTTCTTCGACGAGCAATCCATTCAAAATGCTATCAGGGATAAGCTCTCCTTTTCGAACAAATGAAGCTGCTCTTAGGCCGAATTCTAAAGTACGTCCCATAAGCAGACAATCCAATACCTACCAGTCAATAATAAGCAAACACACCACATACTTATTTCACTCACCTGTCCCTCTTTGAATGTGGTCTCTAATGAAATCTCCTGCTGAAAAATGACCGAACTCATCAAACTCCTTCAAGAGCAGCTTTGCAATGGTACGTTTACCACAGCCCGCTGGCCCACTGATCAAAACTCGAAACATCTACGTAGCTTGATTTCACCTAAAAAAATAATTTAAAATCTTGAGCAAAAATAATGGACAAGGCGTGCACGAATTAGAGATGAAATAAGTATAATCATGGAGGCGGAAACATATTAACAAAAGAGACTACAGAAGAATTAGAGTATACCAGATGTTTTCCACATGTTTCAAATGATATTCGAGAATCTGATAGAGATTGAAAAAAGGTTTAAAAAGCATGCACATGACTTCAGATCTTATGACGTAAATGTGAGAGTTGGAATGCCATAACATGACAACAAAGATCTCAAAAAAGGAACTATCAATTGAAGACTGACTCCGAAATGAAGGGTTTTTTTAGATGTAAACAAGCGGACCTTCACTCATTTTATTT